TTCCCTTCCCTTCCCTTCCCTTCCCTTCCCTTCCCTTCCCTTCCCTTGTCCTTTCTTAGTAAAATTCTGAACCTACCAAGAACAACAGCAGTTTTTTCATTGGTATGCACAGGGCTTTTGACCTATTGATTTTTTTCAGAGCAATTTACCATGGGACTTTAGACTCTGAAATTGGAGTTCAGATGACTAATGTAGCCTATACTGTAGACCCCTGCTCTCAGTGCTCTCTGAGACAGGCTTCATTGCCTATGCAGATGCATGGAAATTCACAAGTCACTTCATGAAAATTAAGTAACATTCTCCTGGTGACTGCTGGTTTCATGAATACTCATATTTAATTTATTCTTAAGAACATAAGCCTGCACAAAAGTCGCATGTTTGCAGGTTGGATTAAATGAATCTAACACAAGTAAATAGTATCTGCTCATTTTTGTCTGCTAGGTACAGACAAAGCTCAGATTAGTTCTGTGAATCTGGAAAACAAACAACACAGAGAAACAGACATCAAAGATGCTAAATACTCAATAGGTGCACATTTTCTAATGGAAACAATGGTTATTGTTAATTAGCCTGTATAATTTGGATCATATTGGGTTTACTGTTGTGTGTCAAATATTCACCATTCTGTCCAAAACTTCTCATATACATAATGACAAGAAGACAGATAAACACTAATACAATGCATTACAAATAAACTATATGAAGAAATGTATCCAGTAAAGGACAAAAAAGATAGGAAATACTGCAAAAAAAATGTGCGTTCCACACATGCACTGATAGACATATTTTCTAGCATCAGGGGTTTCTGATTTTCAATCTTTTGCAGAATAGGTTTTCATAAGAAAGCAGGAAAAAATAATTGTTTGAATAGCAATTAGCTCTATCTGCCTTTTGTATATTCTGGGGTAGCAATTGTCATCACTGGTGTTATAAAATCTCCTTGAATAAAAATATAAAGATAAGACAACAAAATAGGAAAACATTAAAAGTTTTAAAAAGGAAAGAAGAGAAAGGAGGGAGAGAAGGGAAACAAAGGGAGGGAAAGGATCCCAGCTGAAACTCACTCATGAATTGAACGAAACTGTTCAATGGTTCATATCACATGCCTGATTCATGTTAAGAGCTAGCAAGTACTAGAGGATGCCACAGACCAGAAGATGCCTACTGGTTCCTAAGTTAGTGATAAACCATGTTAGTGCTAAGACAGATGAGACAAAACCTTTAAAGTTCAGTAGATGGAGCACAGGTTTAGTTAGTGTGTCCTTCCTCAAGGCTCCCTTTGCAGAGTACCCAGGAAGAAAATCTATGATCTCAAGCACTTCTCTATGTGCAGCCTCAAGAGCTGAGCTGGTGAGGGGAGTCTATGTCTGGACTGTAGGTGGGTGTAGACTAATGATCACTTCAGCATGATTTTCACATAAACCGAGGAGAGGGTTTCTGGTGTATGGCTTGCCATACACCAGAACTTTGTTAGTACTTTTGTTAGCCCTGGTGTGGCAAACAGAAAGGTCTCCTACAAATCAGGAAAATATCAGCAGCAAGCACTTGCCTTTTGTCACCAGTGTGTCATGCTGAATGAAATAGTCCTATCAGAGTAAGAACATACTTAGCCTCTCAAACTGGTGAGGCAAAATCAAGCAGGCTAATTATTTCATAGAGAAAAAAAAAAAAAAAAATAAAGAATTTATAAGAAAATCTTCCAAAAATTCAAAACGCTTCTTACACTTCAATCTTAATTTTAACTTGCCTGGACAGGGGGAGACAAACATACTTTATTCATGACAAGCTATAATTCAAATTGTTCTTTGATATTCTAGATGAAATAAATCTTTCATCTAGCTTTTTTCCTAGGGCACTTTCCACAGTCCTTTCTTGGTCTCCAAAGGGATGAACCAGGAAAAGCCCTAAAGAGTGCGCTTTGGTTGTCCACAAGCAAGAAATGCCACATTCCTATGAGAGGTCTTGAATGCATAGGCGTAAGACAGTTATACGTGAGCATCATAACTATGAACTGTTCATCAAAAATGAAGCGTTACAATTTTGGCATTCACCATGATTAATACTAGTACCTTTGTCACTTTGTTTGTAAGTCTCAAAAATGTTGTGACCTTTATTTTCAGAAAGAATAAAATCTCAAATACCTCTTGCCTCTTCCTGTAATCATCTCCGTAAAACAAAAACTTCTGCCTCAACCATCCACATTCACAATATGAGGTTGACTTTTATACTCACAATAACATATGCATGTAGATTGAACCATTTTCTGACCATAGATGACTGCAAAAGATCAACTATACGGAAAGCATGAGTTTTTCCTCTTTCTAATATGTTGCCTACTCTTAGCCGAATACCAGTACACTCTTTTCATCAGAATACACTGGATCAATGTTTACTTGGTCTCCAAAATCACCATGTTTCCCAGTGTTGAATGAACAGAATGTATTGCAAGTTGTGGGCAACAGGACTATGACAAATTCAACAGAATGTTCAAAACTCAACTTTCTGTTTGTGTTCAAAGTCCCAGTGTATTTACATGGGATTTTAAAGAATATTGGCTCTGCTTAGTTCAGGGTAGATTGCATCAGTTTCTCAGTATCCTGAGAATCGAGCCAGTGCATCGATGTAAAGCATCAAACCTCCTTCATCTGTGAAGACAATGAGGAAATGAGGACAGATTCCCCCAGGAATAGTGTAAGAGTTAATCCTACTCATATCTTTGCCAAATAGGTAGCTGAAAATAATCATGATCTGTGTTACTATGTTTGGTTTCAGATTGCGCAGAAGCAGAAAAAGCCTAGGCTACAAACATAGTAAATGAGAAGACCCAGGATGAGTAGCTAGAAAATACATATATCTTATTATTAGGAATAATAATGTTAGTTGGAGAGACACTTTTTCGATGTTTGACCTTATCTAACTAGGTAATGCAATAAAAATACAATATCTTTGGTTTAAAGGGATTACTTATTTGTAATACCTGCCTTGAACATAATTAAAGAAAGAATTAATGCACTTCTGTGTAACATTTAAATAAGGAACTGTGCTATTTTTCCCACATCCCTTACATTATTTGTCCTGTGTCTGTTTCCAGCCCTGATTCAAATTAAAAAAAAAAAAAAGCAATGGTATCAATATTCACCTTTTTTTCCGTTTCAACAGGGCCCCAAGAGGTCCTTTCTGCCCCAGGCCCCCCAAGAGGTATTTCATTCCTGTGCAAAGGAATGTTTCATTTCTGTAAGAAAGAATATGGGAAACAGATAACAAAGTTATCTCTTGGGTTTTTTTTACCTAGTTATTCTGCCATTCTTTGCTGATAATGACTTACTATCCAGTCAGCCTGGATAGGAAGCTGGAAACCTGAGGCAGGGAGCTAGATGCTACATTGATAAATGTTTTCTTGCCATCTATTCCTACAGGGTCTATCCTTATCACATAGTTAAAGCAGTACTGTTCTCATGTTTCTGTTTCAGCTATTTAAAAACAGCAGTCCCACACAATATCCCCCACAAAAAGTCTAAAGTGTTAAGCCTACTCTACCAAACATTTGAGAAAATGATATGACAATATAGAAAATGGGATGGCAACAGGTGCCTTAAGACATTTTGTACCTTATGTAGAATCCACATGAAGTTACTTTCTTAGATTTATATTTTTCTAAGCATTAGTAAGTATATATATGATATGAGCTTTAATCTTAGACCTTTTTTTCTGGAATAATTAATTCCACAGGACAATGTAGCACATTCCTAAATAGAAGTTCCTACTGAAATTTGTATGACTTGTTTTACTAAAAAACTCATCACATTGATGAAAAATCATAATATGTTAAGATTTAAATGATTTCTGTTTTCTAACATATGGAGGAGTAAAGGAGAAAATACACTATCCCTTGGACTACATGGTCTGAGATACGCAAACCTCAAACCACTAAGGGAATAAATGATTCTCCCAGTGGCACAGTGGGCTGAGTGGCATTCACTTAAAATGACCAACATCATTATGAGTGGTACAAAATTATTCATTATAGGTGTCTGTGAAGAGAGATGACTGACATTTTTAAATTCTCATTTGTGAAACAGCAGATGTAAAGAAGCAGATAATTAAGTTTAAAGGGCATTTTGCAACCACAACATCAGAAAGACTAAGAAGTTAAACATTAACCTGACTGTAAATCTCTCCATTATGTCTCCCTACAAACAAGAGTGAATGTGTTTTAACCATTCAGTATCATTCTGTGCAACAACCATTTGATGTCATTGTATTGCATATCACAGACTACAACAAAAACGACCTCAAAACATGATTAAAAACATTAGAAAGTCTAATGCTACTGTATATATAATGCAATGCCTCCACTCCAAGTAATACACTTCAGACACTTTGTGAAAGTCACTCACTGGGACTCTACATGGAGATCATCAGTATAACAGATAACATCTTTAAAAACATGAAATTTACTGAATTTAGGACTGAATCTCATTTGTACCTATATTAGTGATGCCACCTATAGGCTGACCTACCATCATAGACTTTTCTAAATTATTTTATGATTGGAGACGCAGTAGGGAGCAGGACTCACTTTTTTTATATACCACTATTCATAGTCCTGATGTGAAAAAGCCTTGGAGTCACTATTTTGGACATCATCCCAGCTTGACTGAAAAAGACCTCTTAGATGTAGATACTTGTAGATACTTACCTACCTGTACTTTGAGAAGTCCAATGTCAGCTTGTGGGTTGGGATCACACAGCTCTTTTCTTCCCGTCAATTTCTTTCTGTGTTTTTTGTAAAGTAAGAAGTTAAAAAAAAAAAAAAAAAAAAAAAAAAAACTGAGAAACAGTTTTACAAAAGTATCCTAAAACTGTTATATTATGTGCCAGAGGGGGGAAAAAAAAAAGAAAAAAGAAAAAAAAAAGAAAAAAAAGGGTAAAAAAAAAGGAGAAAAGGAGGGGGAGGGAAGATACAAGCAGAAAATCTTTCTCTTTTTTCTCCAAACATTTTCCTTCAGATGTCCCTTTGAAGTCACAGGCTTATAGTGTGAATGACTGAGAGCAAGAAGCTGTGAAATGTGCCTTTGAGCCACAGACTTCTCAAAGATTATCACAAGGCATATATGACTGTGGTACATGACATCTGCAAATCAGCATGACATTACTGAGGCTTTGTTCAGCCTCAGACTCTGAGAGCACCAGAGAACCAAAAACTTCCGAAAGGAAAAATTAGATAGAGACGTTCCTCTCATTCTTCCTGTTCTGATCGTGCCTTCCCACCTGGGAGTTTCACTGCTAATGAGCACAGCAGCTGTGTTGGTATAATTTGCTTTTGAGGAAGATGTTGAACATGCACACACATTCTACATACATAAAATAATTTCTTATTATATATACATAAATTAAGTGAGGTTACCACCTTACGTTCCTTTCAGCCCAATCACTAGTAGTACTGGATATTGTCACTTCTCTGCCATTTTATTTTCCCTTTAATCTACCCTCTGAATATGCTATTCTTTGTAGTTACTAAAAGTTATTTCTGCTCAGATGAATTTGATTCAACTCATAGTCAAACACATGGATTAGCAGAAAATCTCAGTCCTGACTGGCTATATCTCCTTATGCTCCACTCACAGATCTGCATTTCTCATCCTAGCAATTTCTTGCTCTCTATGACAACCTGAAAGGAGGTTGTGGTGAGTTGTTGATGACTTCTCCTCTCAGGTAACAGCAATAGGATGAGAGGGAATGGCCTCAAGTTGTGCCATGGAAGGTTCAGGCTAGATATTAGTAAACATTTCTGCTCAGAAAGAGTGATGATGTACTGCAATAGACTTCCAAAGAAGTGGTGTAATCACCATCCCTGCAGGTGTTCAAGAAACTTGTGGATGTGGCACTGAGAGACATGGTTTAGTGAGCAATATTGGTAGTAGGCAGAAAGTTGGACTAGATGATCTTATGGTCTTTTCCAATCATAATGGTTCTATGATTCTTACATAAAGGATACTGTATATAAGATACTGTGCCCTAATGTTAATATTAAATAGGGAACAAAACTGACTTGTGATTTTGGAATAAACAGTGCTGAAGTTTCTTACAAACTTTGGAGAAAAGCTGAGCAAGGTTAGGATAGTTTCCATAAGCTATACGGTAGAACTACTGTTCAGCACTCATCTTGAGTGAGAGGGCAGCACCATACTGTTCAATCTCAGGATCACTTCCTGCTAGACCCTTCTAAGAGTTTAGAATGCATGAGTGATTTCATTTTTCTGAATTTGAAAGAGTTTGTAGAAATGGGAGCTCAGCTCTGGGAAGAAAACAGAAAAAGGTGAGATGAGAAAAACACACTCTAACCTAAAAAAAACATTACAGCAAAGAGTCCGATCTGAGCAGCAAGAGACTGCAGAATAAGATGAGAAAGGCAAGAGAGGTTAAAGGTGCTTCACTAGGCAGAAAGAAAAAAGAAAAGGGAAGCCAGCAAGAGGAGAGTGATGTGCGTCAATATCAGTCCTTAAGCCACAGTTCAGATCTGAGGAAGGGATGTTGTTAAGGAGAGGAGATGCAGTGACAGCAGTTAGTAGTACAACAAGGAGGGAAATGTGCTGGGGAAGATACAATGACAATTGAAATCCCTAAGACGTGACTCCACAGAGAGCTGCAGCTGTTCCATGGTGTTGAACTGTGCCTCTGCCAACTTGTCTGAAACAGCAGGGACATGGTGTTCTGGACTTCAGGCTCCAGGGGTCCCAGGAGTTTGGATGGATGTCCCTTTTGCTGTTTACTTCTTTCTATTGTATTTTTGTACAATTTACCAGTGATCATACGCAAAGATACAGAAATCCTAAGAGAAATGCAATTTGTGATGGCTTCAGCTCCTATGAAACAGGTTTTATCTAGACATAAATATCTGAATCCCTGTTGATTATCTGAATATCCTACCTTCTAGAGGCAGTCCTATCAAAGAATCGATTGCCAAGGGTCCCAGATCCAAGGTCATGACTTTGCTGATGAACTGAGCAAGAAAAAAATGACAGGGCAAGAGGGAAATATGTTCATATCCACACCATAAATAACAGCAAAGGAAACAGCAACATAAATTTGCAGAGGAGAAATTCATCACTATAGAAAAAATGAATACACTGGAATTAATGGGAACTTCTAAAAATCATTTCAACTTCCTTCACCAGTGAGGTTGTGGAGGCCATATCTCAGTAAATCGCAATAGGATTTAAGAAATTAAATATTTGAATGACACTTGGAGATAAGATTTTGAATCTGCAATTCACTCAGTGCTTTGAGACTTTATTCAGTATGCAAGAGACATAAGGGACTGCTAGCCAGTGTCTCCATGGGCTGTCATGGAATAACATAGGCACTGAAAATAGACTCAGTAAGGGATTTCTTATGAAAACAGAGAATAAGAGACAGGAATTAAAGAAAACCTTTTTTTAATCTACAAAACAACTTTTATGTGCATTTTTGCTATTTTTCTGACATGTTCCACTGTTTCAAAGAAGCAGTTCAAAATAAATTTTAAGTTGACATAATTTAACAGACAAAACTGAGGGTATTTTGTTTAGAAGGTTTCGATCCTATGTTTGTTTGTCAGAATGGATACTGGTGTTCAGAGACATCTTAGAAATATTCATCTCATTGTTACAAAACTCACTTCTAGCAGAACAGATGAAAATTGTTTCACTGAAAAATAGGAAATGTCAGGAGAACTGAAAAATATAAAATCCCATTTAATCCAGGTTATTGAAACACATTTGTATATTTTCAAAGTGCTTAGGTGAAGTGCTCTTGCACAACACTACATTTCTTTTGCAGTCACTCTTCCTTGCTTCTCCTCATTTAGTTCCTTCTTTCTTCATTCACATCTCAGCTCTTTTTTTTTTCCCCTCTATAATGTGCTGGTTCTTGCTTTCAACTCATTTATTTTCTCTTTTCTATCCCCCGACAACTCCTGATAGGCTTTTCTTCAAGCATGCTCTGGTGCCCGTCAGATAGGTATGTGCTACACGGAGGCACGTTGCAATGCAGCAGTTGCTACTAAGAGATTCTGCTGTGGCACAGCACAGTGGGAGGGATTTAGTCTCGGGCATGACAACCAAGGGACTGTGCAGTTTGATGAAGGAGATTGTTCCCAAAGTACTTTACTAGATGACACTCCTATCTAGTTAGTATTTCACCTCCCATCAGCTTGTGTTACCATCAAATATCAGTTTAAAGGGTTTTTTGATAAAGAAGGAACTAGGTTAAGAGAACTGAGACATGAAGTGACACTGTAGAAGATGAGGGTAAACTAAAGCCTCAATAAATAAAAGTCATTAGTAGTCTTCTTTCACAGATGTGTTTGCTGTGGTCTAAGGTAACAGGAGGAAACAGAAATCACAAGCATGCAAAAAATCCCAACAGATAAGCCTGACAAATGAAGGGAGCAAATAATCTATAGCACAATTATGAAATTTCAAGAAATTAATAAAAACAATACCAGAAATGAGATAAAAGCTGACTCCTTACAAGTTATGTCGTGCTGGTAACAGCCCTGGTGAAGTTGATACAGTGGTTCTGTCATGAAAGTAAAATATGCAGTAAAATAGAAAAACACAGTGTTTGAATCTCTAAATCAAATTATTTGAGTCTGAGGTCTTTGTGTGAGTGTGAATTTGTTCTTGGTGTTTTTTTTTTGTTGTTTGTTTGTTTTTTAAATTTATTTTTTAACTCATTTGGGAATCAGAATGAGATTTTAAGGGGACATATTTATCACCATGACTCTTCAGCAGCTTTGTATCCCTAGTCCTCTTTGTAGAAGTGATATCTGCAATTTCCCATGTGGAAAAACAGCATTTTTTTCTACATACTTGTTTTCAAACAGTTCCTGTGACAAGAGGTTGGGGTATAAGTTATGCTTAGCAATCATTGACTACTGCTTCCTATGACAGAGAGGATCACCTGAAGCCATGGCACCTAGGAACATTTTCCTCTGTAGCCTTTTCTTGCCTTATGGTACAAATCTGTTTACAAAATAATTGCTATCTTTTTTTTTCTATACCGTATTAGGATTATTCCTCAGGCCTTTAACAGTTTTGATTTCAAATAATCCCATTTAGCATGTTTAAAAGCTTGCATTTCAAACAGTCCTTTTTTTTTTTTTTTTTTTTTTTTTTTTTTTAGCTTTTACAAACATGCAAGAGAGGTCAGAATAGGAAGTGTTCAAGCTCTGCAAGATCTCTCTAAAAACCAAAATAAGTAGAGAACTTGAAACTATTTTCTTATGCATTACAGTCTTCCTGGCCTAGTGATGTTATATATGATTCTAACAGAAGGAAGGTACATGGTCAGAGACAAGTCCCCCTGTTTCCTGCTATTAAGTTAACCTTATTAAATGTTACATTATTGTTTAACATAGGATAGGGGTTTCTCTTAATGCAATGATGAATTATTCATAGGAGAAGCTAAGATATTTTACCTTGTTAAGTGTAACTGCAGTGTGTTGAGACCAGTATCTGTAGCTATGCATCAGAGACAGAATTAGACATGGATTTCTTAAACTGCAGTGGAATAAAAATTTTATTAGCTTGCGACTACAGCTTGTGCAATTAAAGCAGGTAGCAGACGTTTAGTGGAATGTGACACAGTCAGATTTAGAGAGCCTATAATAATGTATTAGCTGTACATAAATGCCACAGAAATAATATTTCTAGATAAATACTACCTGCCTTGGCAAGGAATATATGATCTTCAAGATTCTCTGTCCACGAAAGGGAAAATGATCATGTACTCACCATAAACATACATAGCTGTAATTAATTATCATAGAATCATAGAATGGCCTGGGTTGATAAGGACCACAATGATAATCTAGTTTCAACCTCTGTGATACGTGCAGGGCTGCCAACCACTAGACCAGGCTGCCCAGAGCCACGTCCAGCCTGGATGTGTTTTATATTTATAATTAGCTACAGAAAGCACTTTTTCTGAGATTTTAAAATATCTTAAAAGTGTAAGTACTGTTAACATCTTTCCAGAAAAACTAGGAACACAAACTTGTCTATATTTTGGATCTTGTATCTATCTTTTAAAAAAAGAAAAAAATCTTTCAGACAGCAAAATGGTCTTGAAAATGTAGATTCTGTTCTGGGAATTTGGATACCACCCTTTTCTGATAAGCTAAAGAACTAACTGAGTTCTTCCACTATTTCTCTACAGTTACCTTAAGTTGGTCTGCAGATGTAAATAAAGATTTTGTTGCCCTCTTAGAAACAAGTGTGAACTTGGGTATAATATATGCTTAAGTTCTTGCAAAGAATTTGGGCCAAATCCTTTTATATCTGAGTCAGTTTTCTTCTCCGTGCTTCTAATCATTGTCTTAGGCAAGTGATTACATAAAATGGAAGGTATGTAAAAATTGCCCCAGACTAGTGGACACAGAAATGGAAGGGATTCAGTTTTAAAGCTCTAGAGGACTTCGTGCAAGAGTGACCACAATGGGCTGATAAGATGTCTGAAAAGTACTGGTTGAGTAAAGATACCTTCCGATTTGAGTGTGCTAGATCATTAGTGAATCAATAAGGAAATATTTGATAAAAGGCAGTGGGCTAGCACCTATTCCAATCAAAGGAAAGACTTCTGTTTTTAACTACAAGAAGAGTCTCTTTGGGCGTACAGTTTGTCAATATTTCTGTCAGCAACACTGCCACATGTTACAAAACCTCTGAGGAACAATGAGAGTCTCCATGGATTTATTCAGGGTCCTGCAAGGACATCCACAACTTGAAGGGATTTGCAGAGATTCACTGAAATGTCACAGTGTCTTTACTGGACTCACTGGAGGATGAGGGACTTAATCAGTAGATCTTTGTGAGATCCCCTGTGCTGTCTTATAGCTCTTTACTATTATTTCATCGACAATATTCTCACACATTTCAACAGAAAAATAGAATTTAAACTAGGAAAAACATAAGTAGTGTGTAAGTTTTCTTTTTTCACATTTTAATTCTACAAGTATGTATTTTAAATAAGAAATGCACTAACTCCAGGTATTCAGAACAAATTATGAGTTGGTTTCACCCAGTCTTCTGAACACCCTCCTCTTTCTCCAGCTTTATCACCTGTCACCTGGAGACTATGAGTAGCTCTCAAAAGGTTTTTCTATTTAATAGCAGAGGCATGATGGCTGATATGAGGATAATGAAGTGCTCTGATTCAAACTGGGCTGCAGAAGTACTTACCTATCACAGCTCTGTTCTTTCAGATAAAATATTCTGGAATCTAATGATCTTCAATTCAATCTTAACAGAAGCTTAAATAACTCTTCTGTTGGGGGAACATTTATCAGGGCAGCAGATATATATAATTTTAGACTGAGTTCTGGGGTGGATATTTTAACAAAGTGCTTGAAGAAGATAGTTGGAGTCAGATAAAACTTATCTTGTTCAGGTAGACTTGTGTGACGAACTTCAGTCAGCTTCCAACTACAGTGGCACATTGCAGGGTAGAGAAAGGAAGCAACTTGCTGAAATCTGTTGTTTTGATCTCCTTTTTCCAGCAAGCCGCTGCAAGTGTAAACAAGCATTGGTCCACTGATGAAATGTGTGTGAGGTGTGAGCAAGGTCCTACTTTTGTTGCCTTTTGATGACACCAGTCACTTTTCTGACCCTTGTACAACTTACTCTGCAGCAACAATTTGAGTTGAAACATAACCAAAGAGATGACTAAATAAAACTGCTTGCTCAGAAGTGAATATCATAGTCTAACTATACCTCAGTAGTCAGCCTGTTTATTACTAATAAATCAAAATCTAATGATTTCCCAATTTAATCAAACTATAGTTATGCTCCTTAATTATAATAACACGTAAATTTTAATAAAATGCAAATTATAATAAAATGTGGAGTTCCTCCACCTAAGAGATACTTCAGTTGCAAGCAAATCCCCAGCACGTTTTTGAGGCCATCCTACTGCTGCGATCGTCTGTTTTGAGTGGTAACTGCCATTGTATGCCTCTAGGTGGAGACCCTATCCATTTAGTTCAGCCTTCCACAGAGAACAGTAGGACGTTTCAGAAGATGCATGGTTCTTTTCATTCACTAGATAGAATATTAAGGCATTAGCTTAAAAAAAAAAACAAAAACAAACAAAAAAAAAACCCTTAAGTTGCAAATTACATGACAAAAACAGATGGGTTGCATTAAAAAAATGTAACTTTTTTTCTAATATTTGCAGATGCTTATTGATATTTAATATTTGTTGCACAGGCCATCCATGTCAGAGATTTCTTTCCATGCCTGTGTGTAGTACATATTCTACTCTATTTTATTCATATTTCAAGCTGAACCCTACACCTTCTGTAGAACCCAAATACCCAGAACTTAGGAGAATAAGAGAGGAAATGCCACTAACCAGCAGAGGGATTGAACGATTTCCACTATTAGGGTTGGCTAATATGACATATGGTACATTGGCATATTTCTTAAATTTAGGCTTTTTTGTTATGCTTTGATTTTTTTCCTTTCTTAGTGATTAAAGAGATGAGTGGTGACATCTTATTACAAGGACACTGCAGGGTGTAGTCTTGTTAGATGTTTCTAAATGGGGTATGAAGGAACTATGCCTATCATAAAATATACTCCATCTCAAAAGTTGGGTAACATACCCTCAAATCTATACATTATTCCATCTGATAAATTAAGATGTCTAAAATTTCCTAAAATCTCTAAGTTCTCCAACTTGTATTACTGTTGTCTATTTCCCCTTTTATTATAATTGGTATTGCATATCTAAGTCTCTGCAGAATATTCACAGTTTCAGATCTGTACTCCTTATATTTAAAATTTCTATTAAAGAACTGTTGCTGTCTGCAGCTGCAGAAACACTTTGAACACTGTCTTTAACTTGGGAACCTAAGTACTGTAGTTAATTGGCAGTGTGTACTGGGAATGTAGATTAAGCTATACGTGGATATAGTACAGAGAGGGATTAAAAACAACTTTCAGGAATTGACCATTGTGACACAACAATATCTTGTATTTTTCCTCAGACCAGTATTACTTATTGTGAGATTCCTTTAATGTCTGAACCATCCTCAGTTGATAGCTGTCCTGGGGCTTCTGCTTCTCAATCTAACCCTACAAAGGAGCTTGATAACTATCATTAATAATGCTCCCAATAAGTTTTCCTATCCCTTCTCTTCATTTATGTTTTCATTCCTTACTCCACCTTGGACATGCACACAGGAGAAGGACTGACATCCATTTGGAAGCACTGAGGTATGAGCCTCATTTTCCAGGATCCAATACTTTCAGCTGGTGTAAATGTCAGGTGAAATGCCACAGAAACCAGTCAATGTTGAGTACTTGAGGATAACAGCAGTAGCTTCTTCCTTTCCCCTTAATAACCACCTCCTTTTACATTTCATACACAATGATTTTGTCCTCTCATTTCTGTGTTATAAAACTATATTGATTGTAGCAACTACATTTCCAGTCCAAACTGTGCAGCTTACTTGCAGAAGAAAACAAAAGGCTATTCTACACTTATTAGTTTACCAAAACTAAAAGGGCCTGAACTACTTACTGTCTCTGAAGTGCAGAGGGCAAAGACTCTGTCTTTTCCAATTGTCATTATGCATATTTCCTCTAGTGTCTAAATATTCTTCCACGCTGAGCTGAAGAGTATTGTAGTTCTGATGTAGACTGAGAAGGAATTGCTATCGTATTCCATTCCTCTTACTATATGGATGACTGTATCATATGTGTGTACTTTGTTATGATTCCACCACTGCACAGATGAAAGCCTTGCTATCTTTGCCACAAGTCTTGGTTATTTGCTTTCTTCGTGACCAAGGATTATCTATATAAAATCCTATCAAGAATAAGGAGACACATGAGTGAAGGCATCTCCTCTTCTAGTTCAGAAAGCAAAAATACATTTTTTTTTCCCATCAAAATCAGTTAAATATTGCTATGCCAATTAATTATATTTTTCAAGTTTGCACAGCGTATACAGAAGCAGAGTTTAAATTGGAGCGATGTCAGTTGCCCAAAGACAGAATGCAAATACTCTCTTGATGAGCCAGGTCCTGAAAAACAAAGCCATATCTACATTCAAAGCTATGCATACAAAAAAAAAATAAGAGTAATTGTACTAGTAAGAGTCTATTGGCACTGTAGTAAAAACAGTACCAATTTAGTAGAAATACATAATTATCCAAAACATCTAGGTAAAACTCCTTTTTGTTATCTGAAACAAGACAGATTGGATTTTTGTATATACTGCCTGTATTTTTCATAGTGAAATTTTGAATACAGGCTAGTTGGGCTCATAGTATACACCACAGTTTTAGACTAAGGGAAAAGTAGTGTGCAAGATGTGTTTAAGAACAGTACAAATCCCCAGGTCTTAGGAATAGCACTGAGGCAGTAATGCTGTTGCCAGGACAGTCATCTTCTCATATACAATTCCCTGCTGCTTTTATTATTATTATTATTGCTTTATTTCACTTGTTAGTGGCTAAGTGCTAGTTTGCCTTTGTTAATGCTCTATGGCACTGTTTCAAGAGTATTGCATGAACTGTTTATTTTGCCTTCACGCTCTTATTGATGAGATGGGGAAAAGTAGATCTAGGCAGTCCCAAAGAGTATCGTGTTTTGTAGGACATGTTGATTAAGAAAAACAAACTGCATGTGTGAAAATAAGAATAGACCACATGGAAGCAGTAGCATTGTGCAGAGAAAGTTTTAGTCTCAGATAGGTGGCAGAAGATAATCACAGAATCACAGAATTGTAGGGGTTGGAAGGGACCTCCAGAGATCATCGAGTCCAACCCCCCTGCCAAAGCAGGTTCCCTACAGCAGGTCGCACAGGTCGGCATCCAGGCAGGTCTTGAACATCTCCAGAGAAGGAGACTCCACCACCTCCCTGGGCAGCCTGTTCCAGTGCTCCGTCACCTCACTGTAGAGAAGTTCTTGTGCACATTCGTGTGGAACTTCCTGTGCTGCAGTTTCTTACCATTTCCCCTTGTCCTGTCTCCACTCACCACTGAAAAGAGTCTGGCCTTGCCATTCTGCCCCCCACACCTTAGATATTTATAGACCTGGATCAGGTCCCCTCTCAGTCTTCTTTTCTCAAGGAATAACACATACAGCGAAGATTTTAGTCTTCTCATATTCGAGATATTTTCTGATTTTTGTTGTTGTTGTTGTTTGTTTGTTTCATCTTGTTTTGTTTTTATCAAAAGCCCAGAAAAGTTTCATCATCTCTCTTAAAATCTATAATAAAATCTGACAAATGTGCACCGTGTATTTGTCAGGGGCTTGGGGTTTTTGTTTTCCTCTTTTTTCACAGTATGGTATTAAATGGTGCCAGAAATGAATTTAGAATCAAAACCAGTGCTGTATCGGATCAAATTCAATTTAGGAAAAAATACAATTTTATTCTTGATACAGCAAAAATGAAATCCATTTTGCGTAGGTTTGTATTGGAGAGAGGAACTGGATCAAAGATAAATAAAAGTTAGAAAAGTTTTGAGCGCTGAAATCTGAAAAGTACTCAGAGTAGCTATGCACATAGATTGCTGGGTATTTCTATTTAAATCATTGATATGGATTTCAGGTGTAGATTGTTTGCTTTCTCTTTCATCTCTTGACCTTTTTACAGTTTCAGAGAATTGAAAGAAACCATTAAATCCTTACCACATTTTACTTGGCAATATATACAGTACAAAGGAAGGATTTGTTTAACAAAATTTGACAGGCATGGCATATCAGTCTTTTTTCTTTTTTTTTTTCAGTGTAAATATTTCTATAGCCTGGTTTGTGACAGATGTTGATGATTTGTTCACAGTTCAAAAATTGTAAGGATTTCTGAAGGGATCAGATCCTGTCAGGGCAAATGGAAAACAGACTCAGCAGAATGTAATTGATAAATAACTTCTTTTGGAAGATTGTGAGCCTATGGTTGGTATCCAGTCCTTATCCCTTTCTTTTGCCTTCCTATTTCTGAGATGAACACCCTCAATTACGTAATTTTGCTTTCTAACCTTCAGAATAGTTCCACTTTCTGATCAAACGGTTTGCAGTAATAAACTTATAGACCAGACCTCTTTTTTTGTATTCCCCATATTCTAGGAAGATAACAGAGCCAGTATGCTCTGTGAAAGTTCACTCCAGCCTTTGTTGAGTTTCTCCTTGGGAGTGGTGATAGCGGCTCAGGTCAAGCCACCAGTGCCCAGCTGCTGTCTGACCTTGCTACCACCCACTGCAAAAAGACCTGGCATCAAACCATGCCAAAAGTTCACATACTGTGAATACCAACTAATCTCCCCATTCTACCCCCAACACCTATAGTCAACAGAAAGGTAAAGAATGATTTTCAGCACTGCAAAGAAACTCTTCTCTTAAGAAGAAAAACTACTACACCGAAAATGTTTCTCAACCATTTACCAAAGATCAAACAATTTTTTTATACTATGTTTATATTATATTAATATTTCTCAGACTTGCACATTATCCACGCACTGATTATACTGCTTACATTTCGCAAAGTCACATATTTTAAAATATATTTCAGAAAATGAACTCGGGTGCAGGAGAAATTTCTTACCTTTTCTGGCTATTCTCTGTTCAGTAAGAATGCGCTTCATATACAAGGATAAATTATGGTAGCCCGTGTGAGTCAGTGCCATGTTGTGCAGCTCACACAAATATCCATGGGCTTGCAGAAGAGATCTTTGTTTGCTCAAGAACAAGATCTGGTACTTCTCATAATGGGAGATCATATTACCTTAAAACACCTCTGTCCATAGATCCGTCTGATGAGTACCATCTGTTCCCACAATAACTGCCTTTCCAGCAAGAGAGATAGGGTCTGTGGCTTGACAAAAATAAAAGTAGTTCACAGGCAATCCTGTTCTAATGGAGTCCCAGTAAGGATGAGAGATCTCCCAACAGGCATGATTCAAGGGACTCTTCTGCTTTGCTTCCATTCAAAAGAACAGTGAAATCCTATTCCTATCAGGTAAAACTAGCTTTTTGGTTTCATTCAGCTCCCAGAAACTCAGATAATAAAATCAGGGGAATGCCCAGTATTTCCACTGTAAATGGAAAAAAAGACATCAGAAAATACTTGGGAATAAAGTTAGCTGGGAGGCAGTAATTCAGTTTCACAAGTTTCAAGGTTTTAAAATGAATTTTAGTTCTCCAGTGGAATAAAAACAAAAGTCTGAACATTTTATCACAGTGTTATTGTACAGAAACATCCGTTTTCTCATTATAAAGCATAACGTTTTCCTCTCAGATTCTCTCTTACCCTCTTCCTTTCTTTTCCCAATCTCTCTTGTTCCCTCTTTGTCACCAGAGGTAGCTGCAAAGCCCTGGATCACAAATGCTTTTCACATGATTTTTTTTTTTAAATCAATGCATCTTCATGAGTCAGTTCATCTTTTCATAAAAAATTCATTCTGTCAAGAATGTTCATAACTCTACTTGGGAGAAGTCCCAAAAATGTGATATCTTGCATACCTAGTTGGACAGTCAGCCGCACAGTTGGGGTCCCTGTTGAAATGCCAGTCCAGTAGACTAAAGATTTCTGGGTTAATCCTCTCTCTCTCTCTCTCTCTCTCTCTCTCTATATATATATATATATATATATATAAATATATATATATAAAAAAAATACATAAAATTTATTTATTTATTTATTTTGCACAGAAGCCTGTTATACTCCCTTTGGCCTATTCTTACCACACAAAATACATATTTAATTAAAGCATTTCTCCTCATAGCTTTGTTTTCTTGAAACTCATCCCAAGGACTTTAGGACCTGTGAACAGCTGGTATGAAAAAATCTGTCTAGCCTTACAATCCTCTGTTTATCCATGTGTGCACCTTACCACTGAAATGGCAAGCAAATCTTTTAAAAGATGAGCTTCATATTCTGCCAGATGTATTTCTTTAAGTATAAATTACGAGATTACAAAGTCACCTCAGACAAAGACCCTTCACCCTGGTTTAGCAACTTGACTTTTCCACAGAGACAAACTTGCTTATTTTTCAGGGAGATCAGAAGGGCTTTTTCTGTTGTGTTGACATTTGACATCATCTTCTTCCTTCTGCATCTGAAAGAAAATAGTGCTAAAACGACAATGAAAATGCATTGCTCTGTTTAAGTAATATGGGTTATATATTTCTGTGCATCAACAGCTTTGTTATAGGAATCAGAGAAGGATTCGTTACCCTTGAAGTATAAAAGGTTCAAACATAACTGATTTTTTCTACCTTCTTTTGCCTGAATCTCCAATTCTTGAAGATCTGTCTTGAGGAAGTGGTGCCTTTTGGGTGGGAGGGAAAAAAAAAAAAAGGGAAAATATTCCAATTAAAAACAATCTAACTTCTCTGTCACATCTGGCCTTCATGCCTCAATAATCCCTTGAGCACAGCTCATAAATAATGAGAGCTCAGAGACTGTCTCTACAATTCCAGCACATTCTATTGATTTCTAGGGGATGCACAAAAGGATAGTACATATCCTTATGGCAAAATCATGTGCTGTTTGTTGGTCTTCTAGCAAATATATTTTGCTGGTATTTTAATTAATGTTTATTGAGTAATGCCGATAGGTGTACATAGCAAAAAAGAGTTGCTGTATTTGAACAGAAGTGATTTTCATCTGTATATTTTTTTATAGTTTTCCTCCTACCCATTTCAAACCTTATGTCATAGTTCTATGCAATATTAAAAATATTAAAAGATTAAAAATATTGTGAATTGAAAAAAATTATAATGAGGAAAGTACAAGCAAGCGAGCATCAAGAGAGCACACCATGTTTAAAGAAAACACATACACAAAAACAAACAAACAAACCCAACATTTTCCAGGCACAAATAGTCAACTGAACATATAAAATTATTTTGATTTCACTGAAATGAAAAAAAAGACTAATTTATATACATCTAATGAGAAAGCTAGAGATGGAGCTGAGGTGAGTCTACTAATTCTACTGCCTTAAGGGCAAAATCTTCGCAAATGCTCTCTCTCTCTCTCTCTCACACACACACACATGCACACAAATAAAAATAAATAATAAAAAAATAAAAATAAAAAAGAACGAAAGAAAGAAAAAGACACATCAATATACGAAAAGTAGGGGGAAAGATGACACAAACTTGTTCCATAAATTTTACAGAAGCATACCCATTCAGGAACATGAAGAAAAGAAGGAGACATAAATCACTTTGTCATGATCCAGCTCATAGTAATTAACTTCCTCACCTTGGGTTACAAGAATGACATATTCCCAGGAACTGATTGGTTTATTGGAAAGTGTTAGAAGGGAAAGAATCAATGTACAGTTGCAGAAATGAATAAGAGAAGATAAAAAAAAATCTAAATTTGCATTCAACTGTGGTATCTTTATCATATATTTAAGAGAATCTTATTGCTTTGTTACTCCTAAGGGGATATTATACATTTTAAGGGGTTTTATATTAGCATGAATTGAATGATTCTTCTGCACTCAGTCTTCTACTTTTAAATTCTTTCCAGGTAGTTTTCCATTTCCTAAAAGCAAAGGGACTAATTTCATAATGGTATATGTCTTTTATTTCCTCTGCAGGCTTAAGTGATAATTGAGTATCTTGTTAGCAGCACAGAAATGAATAACTCAACGAACATAAACTCTTCCTCTGAAAATGTAATAGCTCTGGAGAGCCCCTATAAAACTATCGAAGTGGTCTTCATCGTCTTGGTGGCAGGTTCTCTCAGCTTAGTTACCATAATTGGGAACATCCTGGTCATGGTGTCAATCAAAGTCAACAGGCACCTGCAGACTGTCAACAACTATTTCCTGTTCAGCTTGGCCTGCGCTGACTTGATCATAGGCATCTTTTCCATGAACCTATATACCCTCTACACTGTGATAGGCTACTGGCCCTTAGGGCCCGTGGTATGTGACCTCTGGCTGGCTCTTGATTATGTGGTCAGCAACGCCTCTGTGATGAACCTCCTTATCATCAGCTTTGACAGATACTTTTGTGTCACCAAGCCTCTGACATACCCTGTAAAGCGGACGACTAAGATGGCAGGCATAATGATTGCAGCTGCATGGGTTCTCTCCTTCATCCTGTGGGCCCCTGCAATTCTCTTCTGGCAGTTCATTGTAGGGGGAAGGACTGTTCCTGACAAGGATTGCTACATCCAGTTTTTTTCCAATCCTGCTGTCACTTTTGGCACTGCCATTGCAGCATTCTATTTACCTGTTATAATCATGACTGTTCTTTACTGGCAAATCTCTCGAGCCAGCAAGAGTCGAATAAAGAAAGGGAAAAAGGAAGCTGCCCAAAACCAGGATCCAGTTTCCCCCAGCCTTGTCCAAGGTAAAATAGTAAAACCAAACAATAACAACATCCCAACTAGTTCAGATGGGCTGGAACATAATAAAATTCAGAATGGAAAAACTGCTGGAGAGAGTGTGATGGAAAACTGTGTTCAAGGGGAGGAGAAGGACAGCTCCAATGACTCCACCTCAGTGAGTGTTGTCCCTTCCAACATAAAAGAGGATGAAGCTGCCAAAGATGCCAGCCAGACTTCTGCCTCCCAAGACCACCTCAAAGTGGAGAACTCCAAGCTGACATGCATCAGGATAGTAACCAAGTCCCAAAAGGGTGACTGCTGTGCTCCCACCAACACTACTGTGGAAATTGTAGGCACTAATGGGGATGAGAAGCAGAATAGTGTAGCCCGGAAAATAGTCAAGATGACAAAGCAGCCAGCCAAAAAGAAACCACCACCTTCTAGAGAGAAAAAAGTGACAAGGACCATTTTAGCCATCCTCCTAGCTTTCATCATCACCTGGACCCCATACAATGTTATGGTGCTCATCAACAGCTTCTGTGCATCCTGCATCCCTGGTACTGTATGGACCATAGGTTATTGGCTCTGTTACATCAACAGCACCATCAATCCTGCTTGTTATGCGCTCTGCAATGCCACATTCAAGAAGACCTTTAAGCACCTTCTTATGTGCCATTACAAGAATATAGGAGCAACAAGGTAAATAAATAAATAGATTATAATAATAAAATAATGGAAAACATGAAGAAGTTCCAAACTAAATTATAAAACAAATAAACAAACAACAATGTCATAGCACTTTATGCTCTATTATGGAATGTGCAACCAGAGACATTAGAGGAAATACTGAGATGGAGCATCAACTCCACCCCTGAGAACTACACTACAGATCTTTTTTTTTATTTTAATCACTGACAACAAATCTTGAGGACATGCGTAAGTTCTGAGGAGTTATTCAAGTATTTGGACTGGAGGCACAGTTCCTTACTTTCTGAGAGTACTCTGAAGAAGGGCTTTAGAATCTTTGTTTGTTGTGGGTTTTTTTTTGTCACTATATCTATTTTTTTCTCTGTGTGTTTGAAATGTCTTCATCTAGGGAAAAAAAAATAAGCAAAGTCTAAAAATAATGATGTGGAAGAGACATAGGGGCTTGAAAGAACTTTACATAATCCAAATCATAGCAGGTTTCCAAAGCTCAAGGTTGTCTGAAGCTTTTTGTTTGTGTCATGTGAGAAACGTAATGTTATGTAAAACATGATGAAACTTATTTTATGTCTTTTATAACACTCATTTCCGAAACTGCATCATTTATGAAAGTGTATTTTTGCTCGACATGTAACCATTGCCTAACATGTATCAGTCTAAGTTTGCCACTTACCCCTTCCTAGGGATTTTTGTCCCATTATCCCCCCACTAAGTCAAAATAAAAGTGAAAAAAAGATAGCCTTTCCAGCTTGCTACATCCCAGATTTGTTTCAGCATTCATGCAAGCGAAAGCTTTTGAGACAATTTTGTGCACTTTGTTTGTCATATAAAATCCACCCATGAATTTCTTTTTTACTTCCATTCACCTTTTGTTTCCTTTTGTACCTTAGCTTTCTAAGGGCACAAGGACTGAATATCAAAAGAAGTTGTAAATTCAAAGGTCTTATCAAATCAACCACCATGGTGACCAAATGAAGAGCCTCAGCTGAAAACTAGAAATGAGCTCATTACTAGGAAAATAGAGGTTACGTCCTTTTAAAGTTAGATATAGAGATGAAGAAATATGCTGAGCCTCCACAGAAGAAATAATTAATATTAAATGACGGTGCTCTTAATCAGACAAAATTCTCAATTTATTAATTGAGGAAAAGAATGGAAGAAACCAATGTGCCCACACAGATCATGCTCTGCCTAAGCCCTTAGTGTGAAACAAGGGTCCTACCTAGATGCATCTTTGTCGAGATCTTTACTTTCTGGAAAAGATTTTCACTACTTTTCATTTTGTGCTAAATAGGAGCAATATTTTCACTGCATGCCAACAGATGATACTAATAAAAAGGCTGAGATGAAAACAGTGATTACTCAAAACAAGATACCAAAATAGTCTAGACTGGGGGCTGGCAAGGCTCAAGATTGAGTTATTATCTGCTACTCTGCACCAGCTCAAATCCGTATTATTTCTTACTGGCAAAGAATTTACTATCTCAATATTTCATATTTATTGTAGCACAACTGAGCACTGTGTGGATAGAACAAAGAGTATTAGATTACTCAAAAATGAAATTGTCTGTGAATTTTGCATATTACAGTTACCTCCTTCTCCATAACTCTAACAGGAGGTAAACCTACGCATTTTATTACCAGAAAGCAGTTTGCTGCATAGTCTCTCAAGAGACTGTTTTCTGGAGTGAAAGCCACCTACCAAATGGGACCCTAAACCATTCTATTATTTCATGTTACCGTATTAGAGTCTTCCAAAATGCACTTTGAAATAAAAGCCTTCAAGATTGTGGGAAAATTAAACCTGCAGACTTAAGCTTTACATTTGACAAGCTTATTGGAGAAGAGTGTCAAAGCACTTTAGCAATATGATAATTTTCATGTTTCAAGGTACAAGTTTCAAGTAGAAAGGGAAAATGAGGAGGATTAAACTGCAGTAAATTAAGGCCACATTAAATTTAGGATGAGTATGTCTTACTATGCATTCACTGCTTTTACAGCTCTAGTGATTTCATCCTGATACATCTAAGTGTCTCCATGTAGTCAAGAAAGTAATTTGGCAAACCACACTCATTTGGAATCATATTTACTACTACAGGTTTCATCGTCCTGCTGATAAGAAACGATTGCTTACTACTAAGTCTTGCAAAACTGAGTAAGTCTTTCAAAGCTACATCCACTAGTCTTATCTTGACAGATCAGGGGTGAGAGTTACATGATCATTTCTATATAAATCATTCCCCTAGAGTGCTAAAAATAAATGCAGGTAAAAAAAAAATAAAAATAAAATATGTTTTTTCTAAATCTTACTTCTTTAGAAAAGATGGATAGAAGAAACACACCTGTTCCTTTCTTTCAGCATGTATTTTAGGTATCAATAGTACAATAATACAGTACCATATCAAATGGCAAAGAATGTATACCAGTTGATTGGAGTCTTGCCATTGTGATGCTTGTCTACAAGAAGGGCCAGAAGGAGGGTCTGGGGAACTAGAGGGCTGTCAACCTGGCCTCAGTGTCATGGGAGATCATGCTGATCATCTTGAGTGCAATCATGTGATATGTAGAACAACCAGGGGATCAGATCTAGTCATCATGGGTTCATGAAAGGCAGGTCCTTCTTGATCAACCTCATCTCTATCTATGACCAGATGATCCATCTGGTGGATTAAGGAAAGGCTGTGGAAGAAGTCTGCCTAGACTTCAGCAAATCCTTTGACTCTATTTCTGCAGTATTGTCCTTCAGTAGCTGGCAGACCATGGCTTGGATAGGTGTAATCTTCACTGGGTAAAAAGCTATCTGGATGGCCTGGGACAGAGTGGTAGTGAATGGAGTTAAATCCATTTGCAACCAGTGATTAGTGGTATTCTTCAGGGGTCAGTGTTGGGCCTGTTCTGTTTAGTAACATTATTGATGATCTAGATGAGGGAATTGAGTGTATTCTCAGTGAGTTTTCAGATAGCGCCATGTTGGGAGGAAGTTTTGATCTGTCCAAGGATAGGAAAGTCCTACAGAGGGATCAAGAGGCTGGATCTCTGAGCTGAGACCAACAGGATGAGCTTCAACAAGACCAGGTGCCAGGTTCTTCACTTTGATCACAACAATACCATACAATGCTACAGGCTATAGGTTGGCAAGCTGCACAGACAAAAAAGATATAGGGATATTAGTCAATAGCCATCTGAACATGAACAAGTAGTCTGCCCAGGTGGCCAAGAAGTCCAATGGTATCCTGGCTTAAATGAGAAATAGTATACTAATGTGGTGATCATCCCTGTACTTGCACTGGTGAGGCTACACCTCAAGTACTGTGTTTAGTTTTGGGCTTCTCACTACAAGAAAGACATCAAGGCCCTGGACCATGGGCAGAGAAGTTGAAAGCTGGCAACAAAGCTGTTGAAGGGTCTGCAACGCAAGTCTTAAGAGAAGTGGCTGAGTGAACTGACATTTATTAGTCCAGAGAAGGGGAGGATTCAGGGAGACTTTGTCACTTCTACAGTGACCTGAAAGTGGGTTGTAGCGAGATGGGGATCAACCTCTTCTCCTGGGTAACAGTGATAGGATGAGAGGTAATAGCCTTAAGTTGTTCCAGGAGAATATTAGGAATGATTTCTTCTCCAGAAGTGTGGTGATGCACTGGAACAGGCTGCCCAGGGAGATGATGGGTTGACAGTTGGACTAGATGATTTTGTAGCTCTTTTCCAACCTTAATGATTCTATGATTATTTCATCTTTTAGCTTCAATTTTCCAGCAAGTATGAGAATGCTTTATTCCAGGCATGTCTAATCCACTGGCCACATAAGCCCCAGGAGAGCTCATACTGCAGCCTGCCCCTTCCCCGCACTATCATGGTGGTGGTTCTTCCCTTCTGAGCGGTCCAGCTAAGACCTGGGCACACATCCATCTCTTAGCAACAACCAATATATCAGTGTCTCAGCTGAACCCAGGACAAGTGGAAGGTACAGTACAGTGCTAACTCAAGACATGGCAAATAATTTTATACATTTTTTATGCTTTGGCTGAACACAGTCTTTCGAACAACAAAAAATAGGCAGTCTTGATTTCTGTCTTCATAAAGGAATTTGAGAACAGGTTTCAAGACTGAAGAGAATTTAATCAATTTTTGTGTATACTTGCAACTCCGTTTTCAGTCAAAAAATACAATACCTACAAATTTTCAAATGAAATGTATAGAGTTGCCATCAGACATTCAACTCAAAAATTTGATCATGTCTTTTCATTAGACTTTTGTCAGACCTATCTTAGCAGGGAAAACTAGTCCTCACTTCACAATCACACCTTATATTTGTCACCACTTTTTGGCAGTATATACATTTGTGAGCAACTATTCTCAAGGATGAAGTGGAGGAGGAGCAACATTTCATCAAAAAATAGCTGATGAGCACCTTGAAAAATCAGTAAGAATCGCAAATGCTTCCATCAAACCAGACATTGATGCATCAGTTTCACAAAACAAAGTCACCTCACACCTCACTAGTTTTATGCTTTGTTTCTCCCTTTTTTTTTTTTTTTTATTTCAGTAAAAAAGAAAATATATATTACAAAATAATAATAATAATAATTTTTGTTACCTACTTACATTAACTATATTACATATTTTGTATACAGCCCAAGATAATTCCTCTTCATTCAGTCTCAGGAAAGACAAAAAGTTGGGCACCCATGCTTTATTCTGTTCTTTGAAGCTGCCACTTGTTCATAAATTATGAGTTCCTCCAATAGCTGAGGACATTTCTATAGGTTAAGAAGTGTAAGCTATTGATTACAATTATACTTTTCATCCTGTGACTGTGACTTCATAATGCTCAACGTATCTTTAGGAAAAAAATTTATTTTGGGGCCAGTGTTCATAAAACAACTAAAAAAAAAGAGAAAGAAAAAGAAAAAGGCAGCCATGTTTAAAGTTTTCTAGAACTTTTCTTTTAAGTCACCTCCACTTTTGATCCTAAAAGACAAAATTATTTTTGGTGTGCTGTAGCATATTTAAGGGGCTTGCAAGAATCATAATCCTGTGTGTTTCCATCTTGTTCCATATGTATTTATGTTCACAGCTATTAAAATGGGTGAAAATACACACCAATGTACGTACACATAAGAACATAAAGACACACACCAATATGGCTTATATACATAGAAAATAATCATCTAACCTTCAAGATGTTGTATGGGATTATGTTTATATTGTGCTTGCTGGCAGCTGGTGAGAGACAGTCTTTACTTATGACACTGTCTATCCTGGCGTGGAAATAGACAGGAGAGCCTGTTCCTGAGACCCAGGGAACAACTCAGGTTTCTGGATCAGATCAAAACACAGTATAATCTTTCAGGGTCACATAATAATTTGCTCTTCTGAACATCTCTCAAGTTCTCATTTCTTTGCTTTGTGTTCCAAACCACATTTACCAGGTTTCACTCTCCTTCTGAAAGATAGTTCTGAAAGATAGTTCTGCAAGATGCAGATGTTGATCTCGAAAAGCAACTCTCCGTGGATACCTCTTCTGGCTTTCCTGGCTGTCACCTGCATCCCGTCCTTCCTATGGCCCCTGATGGCCCTGCTGCCAGTGCTGCCACGTCTTCACACCAGGTTTGGCCAGAGGATCTCAGCAACTATTCCATACAGTGTGCTGCACTGGCCACTTTGATTTCACACAGAAGTTGAGAAAACTCTGTGGGTGAATCATGAAAAGAACACCAAAACCAACAACAACAAACAACAATAAAAACTGCATTGAGCACTTCTGATCTTCTCATCTTCTTCCTCTTTATCATTCCCAGAAGTAGCTAAAAAGAAAAAAGGCTCAGCCATTTGAAGTAGCCCTGCTGCGGCAGGACTGTCCCATTAGCAGCCCATGGTGGGCGAATCACTCTCTCACAGGCCATGCTACCTTCACTCTTCAAGGAGAGGACAACAGCTTAGTGATATATCAGTCTAACTGGTACATTCCTGAGTATTAAAGATATCTGTGGTTAAATATATATAGATTAATTTTAAAAAAAATTAAGAAGAGAAAGAAAGAAACTGAAGCAATATTCAGAAGTCTGTTTTCCAATTAGTACAAAACTGGAGGAAAACTTGTCAGTCTTATGTTTGGAATTTTCATTTGATGTGTCAGAAATCATGAGGATTCATTTGGAGAAAGGAGTGTTTGAACACTGCCTGATGAAAAATAGTCTGAAATCAACCAACGCAAATATGTGAGTCAAATTCCTCCCTTCCTCCCTTTCTCCCTTCCTCCCTTCCTTCTTTCCTTCCTTCCTTCCCTGCTTCCCTGCTTCCCTCCTCCCTTCCTCCCTTCCTCCCTTCCTCCCTTCCTCCCTTTTCTCTCTTTCTTTAACTCCTTCTTTCCCTATTTCTTTCTTTCCTTTCTTCAACCTCACAAATGTTCATGGGTATGAGAGTGTTCAAATGGAATCCTAGGATAAGTTGTGTGTCATCCACAAAATGTGAAGGAGTCAAAAGCAACAGCTAAATCCATCAGCCCTGTTTTATGGTTGTCCACTCATTTTGAAGACCTCAGGGTGTACCAATTGCTCCCAGACATTCCAGACATCCCAGACATCCCAGCTGTAACAGAGGCAGAAGGAGATGCACCCTATTTTTTGTTTGTTCATTTCATCTCCTCATGGATTTGAATGTTTCCTTTGTCTGCTCTTCGGTGGGACTTGCTAGTAAACTCACTAGCTCCTTCCCTAGAATTTATTAATTTTCTCCCTGCTGTTCTCCCTACTCCTGCTGACAGCGCACCTGATTTCTCTGGTGTTGCTAGGGTGGTACAATTAAAATTCTTCAACTCAGTTGTCAGAGCCTTGCCTTGCCACTTCTGTTACCCAAAACAAAACATCTGCTGGTACTGGCTCTCTGTGAGACCAAGTTGCTAAAGCATCCTTACAGCCACATTATGCTCCATGATGCAGTTGGTGGAAGGCAGGAAACATGCTGCTGAGATTTGTTTTCCTTCCTTCCCCTTACAAAAATGTCTAAATATATTTACTTTTTACAAAACATGGAGCTTTCTTTGTGAAGTTAAACTTAAGAAAGAAAACAAGAACGGGAAAACAAGCTCTGGGCCTCGGGGTTCAGGTGTTTATTGACAGGAAGTGGGATCAGAATACAGGGGCTTTCAATATTTTTAAAGCCCTCTTCTTGGTTGGCTCTGTATTCACAGATGCCAGCAAGGCAAATGGTAGAAATTGAGCAGCCAAAAAGAGTTAGGCTTTTTCTCCTCCTGGGTCTACAGATACTTTATAAAACTTGTCTAGAGACACTCACTGGAGACAATATCCTATTTATTTTTCCTGTAAAATCATGAACAGCTCCACACTTCTAAGAAATCTTTCATTTTTAATTTATAGAAAATCTTTCCCTGAAGGAAGCTGATAGATGGTCCTTAATTTGCTGTGACGTCTTTTCTTGTTTCTCTGCCTGCCTTTCCTCTTTTGTCACAGTCTTGACAAAAAGCATTTTTCCTCCTTCACTTTAAGAAGTATCTGTAACTTGTGTTTTAGCTACAGGTACACAGTTTCTCTTGCTTTTCAGGCACTGTGAATGTTGGTATTCAAAATCCTTAAGTCCACAAAAAATATTATATTGCCTTCTCACCTCTGCTGAAGTCCAAAATAATGCATGGAGTAAGAAGTTTCATAAATCCTTTCTTCAGTGGTTTTAATTTGGAACGAAGCAAATTCCTCACATGAAATGAAATCAGTTCTCTTTCTCCCCAGTTTTATTATGTCTATATGAGAAACAACAGAGGATGATGGTAAAGAGTGAGTGTTCTTACAAGGTACTATCAAGCAGCAACATTTACTTTATGTCCTGGGCAATGGTAAGGCAGTCTTCCCTTTCCTTGGTTGCCCTTTTATTCTTTTATTCCCAGTCTTACTAGCAGAATATTCATTGAAAATCCATGATTAAGAAACTAATCATAACAGAGTTGAGATGGACATCACTCATTCACCAAAACAAATGCACAAATGCAATTTTTTCTTTTTTTTCTTTTTTTTTTTTTTTTGGTTCCTTCATTTGCTATGGCCTCATTTTCTACATTATGGAACTAGTGGATCATATGAACGTATTAGTTCTCCCAGGCCTTTAGTATACTGGGTAGATTTGTTAGAGGTATTTCATATCACAAGTAATGGAATGGGGGGGAAGGGTAGGGGAGGAGGGGGGGGGGGAAGGAAGCACATGCTTTTTCCCCTCCCAAAGTTTTGCATAACCTGAAAAAGTCCATTGGGTTGTTCCTTTTTTTCCCCACCTTTGTATAATGAGTTATTATATATTAGCACTGGTTTATTTTGCTTTTTTGTTTTGGTTTGGTTTTCTTTTGGTTTTTGTTTGTTTGTTTGCTTTTCTTTTGTGTGTTTCAGAATACCTGCAAAGAAGCACATAGAAACACATTTTTTGGGTGCCCCAAAAATGCTCTGACTCTCTGAGAAAACCAGCTATGGATAGTGTGTGAGGCAGTGTGTTTAAGGTGTTTATTATCACAGTCATTGAAAAGAATGACTTCCTTGAGTATTTAACCTTTGGTTTGGCTCATCTGGCAGCTCTGAAGAAAGCACAGGGGCACAGGGTTAGCATGCCCTAACTTTGAAAAGGGAAGGACAGGTCTATATTCAGTTGTCTTTTTTCTCCTGTTCTGGTTCGTGTAGGCTGCTGGAGTAGGGGAGGAATTTCTTTCCCCAGTAGTTCTGTCCCTGCACTTTTACTCCAAAGATAGACATTCTTTGAAGTACAAAACAGTCGTAACAGTATTATTGATAAAAATGATACGGGGAAGAATACCATGGTTGCCAATAAATGGACCTTTGAATAATTTTCCCTTAATACTGGTGCCACTTTTTAAAGGTGGTTAGTAAATCAGAGAGTAGCAGTTTGTAAATACCTTTAGATAGTGTGTTTTAACATTACCAGCAGCATATCTTGACTATGTACAGAAATAACACAGTATGTGTAGTGCTATTCAAATTAAGTTATAATGTAAATATATCTAGAATGAATGTCCAATTATCTTCAAGTTCTATGTACAAGGACCTCATCTCTTCTTGAGACTTTTTCTAGCTTAATGATATGGAAAATCTGTTATCCATTTATATATATATATGAAAAAAACATTGCATTCCTTTCTTCAAAGTAAATATTGAAAAAAAGAAGGAATGCATTACATGAATATGATATCAAAAATCCTATCGTAGGACTGAGAAGTTGGGGACTGGTCAAATTCTTGATGCTGTACATTTGATCTCATAAAGAAGATAAGCACAAGTTTATGGTTAGCATCGTAAAGCTGACCCATTTGATTATATATAAATTATAGATATATATTTATATATTCTGTATAGATACATACATATTATACACAATATTCATACAGTGAAAGTAAAGTTTGATAGTCATATTAACTGGGAATTTTGATGTAATGTTATGCTCCATTTGGAGAAAGAACACCTATCTTATTCAGCAACATTCAAACATGTTATGCAGAATAAAGGAAGAAGGTGCTTCAACCAAAACAACTCATGAAGGAATGAGGCAATGTGGGTTTGAAACTACACAAGTAAATTACATGCAATATATGTGTATGTATTTCTGCCAAGCTGTATCCCTAGTTAAAGCATTGCATTAAACAGCAAATTATAACAATAATAAAAGTGTTTTTGTATGTGGTATGTTTTTCTTTTTACTGAGTGAACTACTGTGTAAAATGTAAAATTGGTATAACAAGTGAAAAAAAAAAAAAAAAAGAGTAGCGACAAGAACAGGAGATTGTAGTAATTAAGAAGGAAAAAGAATTCTTTCTTTTCCCTTGCTTTCTTGGCAAGTGTGGAGATCAAGAGATGTCTAGAGAACCATATAACTCATTCTTGTCTTGTCCACATCTCTC